AAAAAAAAAAAAAATTGTGTTCATCTTGAACAAACACTCAGCCAAGTTTGTCACAAGACGAGGGGATATTTCGAATATGAAGAATCCACTAAAAACAACAAAAACCACTCTATTGTTTAAGGAAAGAAAACAGGGTAACTCAAACTCCCAATAAGTGGGAAGCGATATCAAAGCAACCTGGTACAGCGACTCAAGCTTATAACTTTGGTGCTTTGGGAAGCTGACGCCAGGAGGAGTTTGAGACTAGCCTGGGTATCAAAAAAAAAAAATAATAATAACAATAAATAACTGGGCATAATGGCACACCTGTGGTCCCAGCTACGTGGGACGCTGAGATGGGTGGATAGCTTAAAAAAAGAAAAAAAGAAAAAAAGAAAGGAAAAAAGATATAAAAGCAAAATTTATAAATAGGAAATGATAAATATTAAAAAAAACTCATGGAAAAATAAGTATTAGCTAAAGCAATACACGGAATCAAAATAATGAGAAGGGAAAGCTATATTTTTCTTTGTGGTACTTAGTAAATTTTATCGTTTTTAAATGCTGGTGTTCAGTGGTAGCAATGAAATGGAGGGACACTGTACTCCAGTGTTGTTTGTGGGAAACGTCCCTTGGTGAATGATATTAGCATTTATCCAGAGCAGTGATTTTCAACCTGTGTGCCGTGCGAGGATCTTAGGTGAGCCACAAAAATTTTTAAAGATGATTAATTACTTTTGAAAGCAGTTCAAAGCACAGTAATAATATTCTTTTTTTTTAATTTTTTATTCTTTTTTCTGATCAGTATAATTTAAGTGTACCACAGAAGCTTAACTATAGAGTCAAGTGTACCATGAAATAAAAAAGGTTGAAAAACACTGACGTAGAGTCATTATCATTTGTACATGTCTAGAAATTCATCATGAATCAGAAATTCAGTAAGGAAAAACACGTATGTTCAAGGATGTCTATTGAAATACAAGTTACCTGGAAAGAAAAAATAGAAAACAATCTAATGTTTAACGATAGGAGAATTACCAAATAAGTTATTCCATTATCAATGGGAAGAAATAATGTCAAAGCAATAAATTAGGTAAAATGTTTATACAGAAGCATGGAAAGCTATAAACACAACTTTCAAAATAACTGAACTAAGTATGAATGCCAGTTATTTTACTACCAGATACTTTAAAGTTGTGATCATTTTTCCTTTGCTTTAAAAGTTGTTACATTGCTCGAGTTTAACATGACGTGATGGGAATGGAGTGTATTTGCTGGGAGTGAATACATGGTGAAAAGAGGAAGTAAGATTCCTTCTTTGGTTTTTCAATCTAGTATCATCCATTCGCTTACCAGTATAGAAAGTAGGTTTAAATTGTTTCTGTTTTCACTAAATTGACTTTGCCCAGTATTTGTAGAGTGTGTTGTTTAACCACATATTTTAATATTTAGTTCAACAGGTTCCAACAATCACAAAACAGTCAAAAGTGCAAGTTGCCTTTCCCTTTGATGAGTATTTTCAAATTGAATGTGAAGCTAAAGGCAATCCAGAGCCAACGTGAGTCTTCCTTCCCACGAAATGAGTCTTTAAATGCATATTGTTCTTCATACTACTTTTTATTCTGACCATTATAAAAATTGATTTGATTTGAATTAAAATTCGATTTCAATCAAATTTGAATTTCAATCAATTGAATCCAATCTGATTCAATCAGATGTAGACTTAGAGTACAACCACCTTGTACACCTTAGACTACTACCACCTTTTACAACCTTAGGTGTACTCTAGCTCTGATTGAAGCGAAGGGTTTACAAATGGATATTATCCATATTTATAAAAATAAAGTTACATTATTTTACATGCTTCTGCCAGATGTAGTTTTTTCTCATAAATGAAGGTGTCTTATGTCAAATATTTAGAGTAATCTTTGGCACATAACGAATACTCAACTATTCCTTACCCTACAAGTAACAAGGTAACTAAAAACTAAAAGATCTTTTATTCTACTTAGAAAAAGTAACATTTGTTAAGCCAAAATTAACATATTTATAAACAACTGTCTATACATATTTATTATTGCATGTCTTTAAATTTGACAAGTACATTATTCTGTGAATAGATTTTTTTGTGAATAGGTTATTATTTGAGTTTTTAAAGTTGTTATAGAAATATTGTCATCTCAGATGGTAGACTACTATAGGAATAGTAAAACTATTGTTTAGTTAATTAAATAATTGTAACCCTGGGTCAGTGGTTCTCAACCTTCCTAATACCGCGACCCTTTAATACAGTTCCTCATGTTGTGGTGACCCCCAACCATAAACTGATTTTTGTTGCTACTTCATAACTGCAATTTTGCTACTGTTATGAATCCTAATGTAAATATCTTATCAGTAGAGACCCCCTAAAAGGGTCACAACCCACAGGTTAAGAATTGCTGCCCTAGGTGATCAAACTCACTGATGAGCTTTTTCAAAATACCATCTGTGTTTTGGGAAGAAGAAAAAGCCGTAGATATATGGAAGTGACGGGGAAGAGGCTGTTGGAGTAATTCCAGTTATTAAAATTCTATATGATTCTAAAATGGGAAGCAAAGCCAAAGGTTTTTATCGAACTGCATGATTATTTATATCCACTAAAAATATGCACCCTTAAATGAAAATCATTTTAAATTATGTTGTGACTAACATTTTATTCCCCAATAATTTGATCTTAAAAAATCATTTTTAGTAGATCATTTACATGTTAAATTATCATTATTTTTATATTTTCACCAATTAGAACATATTTGATGTATAAAAATATAGATAGAATTATAATGGAATGAAGGAGAATTTATTTAACCAATGTGAATATAGATTGATTGATATCATGTATACATTAACAGAATTATTATGTCAAAAGACAATAACATACACTTATCACCAATAAAACATAAAACACACAGAGAAAAGCAAAAAAATGGAGAGTGGCCTACTCCTAATGAGAATATGTGTTCACTGAAGGCTTGTAATCCCTGTTGGATGAAAGATCAGATAGATTAATATGGTGTCCTGAAATGAACCCCAGTTTCCATGTGTAATTCTTATATAAAATGATGAATAAAATCTACTTGGGAAATCATTATCTGTCTATTAGATTGATAAAAATTTTAAAAGTCTTTTTACATCATTTTCCATAGAATCTGCACTCTAGAATACTGGAGTAGGGATTGAACTATGTGCATTTTTTTTTCCTGGAATACAATTACCATAGACATTCTTTGTGTTATTTATTAATCTCATTTCTAAGGAACTGTCATAAGGACATATTTGGACAACTACCAAAAAAATAAATATGTAAGGTTGCTTATCACGGTATAAACATAAGAGGTCATAAAAGAGAGAACATCATAAAAAAGGAAGATTCGTTGTCATAAAATTGTCTTTAGTAGATCGCAATAACTTAAAAATTCAATGGGCAGGGCGGCGCCTGTGGCTCAAGGAGTAGGGCATCGGCCCCATATGCCGGAGGTGGAGGGTTCAACCCAGCCCTGGCCAAAACCGCAAAAAAAAAAAAAAAAAATTCAATGGGCAAAATGTCATATCCTCTATGGGGTCAAATATATGACCAAAGAGCCTAAAAAGTTTGGTGGGAACCATGAGCAAATTGAGTGGAATTGGCTTATGTGCTTTTAGATTTGGGGTGAGTTCTGAACACAGATACACAAATAGAAATTACATGGACATATTGTATTCATTGTAGTATCTAAAATATCAGTAATAATCCTGCATTTCTTTTATAGTTTAAAAAACAATCACTTTAATTTTATTTATTTTTTTGCAGTTTTTGGCCGGGGCTGGGTTTGAACCCGTCACCTCTGGCATCTGGGGCCAGCACCCTACTCCTTTGAGCCACAGGTGCTGCCCAATCACTTTAATTTTAAAGAGAAACAAAACAAAAGCTACCTTAAATTTTATTTTCTCATTTGTCGAGTTTTTATGGATTTTAAATATCTTGGATTTTTCTGAGACCCTTATTTGTATTCTATTATATTGCACTATGTATATATATTTTTATCATAAATGTCTTAGTTTCATCACTTTTGTGCATTTGTCTATAAATACTTTAAAATTAAGAAATGATTATGATTTTTCATCATTATTAAATTTAGTTTTATCTTACAGATACACATGGACTAAGGATGACAAGCCTTTTGATCTCTCTGACCCTCGGATAATCGTATTTAACAATTCGGGAACCTTCAAGATCCCAAATGAAGGGCACATATCTCACTTCCAGGGAAAATACCGTTGCTTTGCTTCTAATAAACTAGGAGTCGCTATGTCAGAAGAAATAGAATTTATAGTTCCAAGTAAGTACTGCAATGAGGATTTCATTTACAAATGTTTTAGCAAAGTGCTAAATAAGAGTTATATTGGACATTATTAATTTAATCCCTTATGTATGTCTTATATTTTATTTATAAGGAAAATTCACTTTCAGTTTTTGATCCTTAAAATTGGATGACCTCAGAAAGCAACACCATTTTGCTGTGTTGCAGTAACCTTATCTCTAACAGGGGAAAAAATAATATCTGCTGTGCATTGTAGGATGAAAATTAAACCAAATACATTATTAGTTAGATATGGCTAAGTTGTAGTGGAGTGATAGATAATCCAAAGCCCTTGGGTCAACATAGTTATTATAAAGCAGTTGCTGTGAGTCTGGCAGCTCTTCACAAGTTTTTTAGGCAGCTTCCTTGGTGATCTGAGCTAATGGAGACACCATCATCCTGTGGTTCCATCATGTGAAGCATGCCACCTTGGTCAAAGAACCTGGGACAGAGAGCATGACAATTTTATATTGCCAATGAGAAGTTACACAGGCAACTCCTGCTCATATCTTGTTAGGTGACATAAAGCAGGTCGCATAGTCCCACCTAGCCTCATTAGTGTCTGTTAGGAGAGGAGCCCCAGTGATTGGCAATGTCTAGGATAAATAAGTCATGAAAACTGTAAAATAGTTTGCTATTAGAGACGTGTTTATAAATAATTGCCACCAAGAATAGTTTACTTTGTCATTAACATGTTTGGCTTCTACGCAAGGGAAATCTGATGACCACTTTCTACATTTGGTCATTTCTAATCCTTGATTGAAAGGAATCCAACATCACACAATTCTAACTGAAGGGCTTTCGGGGTTAATAATTATGTACACAACTGTCAGTAGCGTCTATTTGGAAAATGCTTCTTTTAGAGTCTTAGACACTGAAGGAACGTTAAGAAAATATTAGACTTTGCATAATATGGACACGATTCTAGGGGGCAGAATGTCCACAAACCTCAGAAAAACAAATAACAAAGAATCCCCAAAGCTCAGAGAGGGCATTGTATTTGAATTGTTATAAAGTTCCTATAAAATTCTAAAAGAGAAAACATTGACCAAATTTAGAATCTTATAAATAAAGTGTTAAATCGTAAAACATAGGGAGTAATCACACTCAAAGTGTAGGCAAAAGTGAATATTATCAAATTATTTGGTGTGTGAGAGAGGGAGAAAAACACAAGAAAGGAAAAGAAAAGAGAAAAAGTAAGATAAGCAGAAAGAAAAAGTAGAAATAAATTTAAATCATCACAAATTAAAGCTAAAGGTAAATAGATTGAATGCCCCACATTAAAAACAAAACAAAACAAAACAAAACTGTACCTCTTTAAAGCATAACATGTAAATTATAAGGGCACAGAATTATTAAAACTAAAAAAATGGAAAAGACATTTCAGTTAAATGCTATCCAAAAGAAGGTGGGTGTGACAATACGTTAGTATCAATTAAAATAGACTTTATTTTCAAAAGCCTTCCTGGAGATTAATTCACTAGCCATACATAATATTGAAGCAAAACTAGGGTAGAAAAATCTATCACAATAATGACAGGGATTGCTAAGTGATAGTGATGTCAACGTATCTCTCACATTATGTGGTAACTCAGCCGGAGAGAAGTGAGCACAGAGAGGAGTTACAGAGCCAGTCGCAGGCTCAAACTCATGAACACACATAGACTATTGTGACTGAAACTGCCAAATTCGCCTTTTTTCACACACATAGGAAAAAATTACATTTGAACACATTGAGCAGCAAAGAAAATAGAATCAAAATGCAATTAAGGTAGAAATCAATAATAAAAAGAAAGCCAAAAAAGTCCTGTCTGTGAAAACTAATAGATATATTTCTAAGTAACTCATGCATCAAATAAGAAATAGCCAGGGAAAATAGAATGTGTTTCTATATGTGATTGGTGATAGTGAAAATTCTACGTGAGAAATATGCTTGAGGTCGTGCAAGCGTTACTCGGAAAGATGTCTATTATCTTTAAAGTTATGTTAGAAAAGAAGGATGAATGACAATTAGTGATCTAAGCTTATAAGGTAACAAAATTTTAAAGTGAAAATGTGGGAGCCATGAGATAAACTGGAAGGAAGGAAGAAAAAATAGAGAGACAGAAAACAAATCCAGCAGAGTGACACGCAATTTTCATAGTGAAAAGTGTAAATATTTGTAAGAAAACAGTAAAAGAAAAATAGGAAGTGCATAAACCATTTTCATTGATTGAAAGATTCAGAAAAGGTAAAATGCCAATCCTCAAAGGTGTGATATATGGAATAATTGCAAAGAGAATCCCTCTAGTTTGGTTTTTTCCCTGTTTATTTGTGGAATGCAACCAGCTGATTTATAAACATATTTGAGGAACAGATAGCCAAATGTGGTAGAAACTTTTGAATAATATCATCAGGTGATGTGGATTTGGCATTGTCAGATATTAAGACTCAGCAGAAAATGTCATTAATTAAAGCCAGTATGGTTTGTGCAGGGTTTCCACCAATTGGCCAGTGAAAGAATATAGTGAACCCAGAAACAAAGCCTCACATATTTGAATCAATACGGAAGAATCAACACAGATTTTCTTTGTCTCTCTTTTTTAAACAAACTGTTACGGAATAATTGATAATTCTCATTGAAAATCATTGATTTTGGTGTCCTATCTCATCTTACATGAAAATTCTTTCCATGTGGATTAAAGACTTAACCACTTAACCAAGGGATTAAAAGACCTCACCATGAAAGGGAAAAGATGTTTTAAAAATTAAAAAATGATTGGGACAATCTATTTCTGAGGCAATAAATATGGGGAAGATTTCTTAAAGGAAAAATATTAAAGTCCCATTAAGGAAATCATTAAGAATGGATTCTACTGGTTCAGTGCCATAGCTCAGTGGTTAGGGTGCCGGCCTCATACACCAAGGCTGGCAGGTTTGAACCTGGCCCAGGCCTGCTAAACAGCAATGACAATTGCAAGAAAAAAATAGCTGGGCATTGTAGCGGGCACCTTTAATCCCAGCTACATGGGAGGTGGAGGCAAGAGAATCGCCTGAACCCAAGAGTTTGAGGTTGTTGTGAGCTGTGACACTAGGGCACTCTACCGAGGGCAACATAGTGAGATTCTGTCCCCCCCCAGAAAAAAAGAATGTATTCTACTACATTTGATCTCAGTTCCTCTTTTATCAAAAGACAACAGGAGAAAAGAAAAAAGATAAACAACTCAGAAAAAATATTGACAATGCATAGAATTAAAAATATCGTCTATTTGTAAATAATTTCACAAACCTCTAGGAAAAGATGCAAATGACACAACAGTGAAATATAAAAACTTGAAGCTCACGGTGGAACGACCAATCAAAATGTGAAATTATGTTTGATATCATTTGTGATCATAAACTGACCATGTGTAATACAAATAATAAAAACATTTAATCCTACCTAATGGGGAGATGTTACAAAGTCTGAGCTTAATAGTGTTATGGAGAAGTATGGGCAGCCACCTGACCCTTATGCACTGCTGGTGAGAGCCACCATAGTAGAAGATGCTTTCAAGCTGTAAGCGAACAATTCTGTTCCTGTGCCCACATGCCCCATGTCCATGTACACCAGCAACATTACCTATATTATCAAATGTATTGGTCAGGCACTGACTTAAATATCCTAGCACTCTGGGAGACCAAGGAGGAAGGATTGCTTGAGGTCAGGAGTTCAAGACCAGCCCAAGCAAGAGGGAGACCTTGCTGTCTTTACCAAAAATAGAAAAAGTTAACCAGGCATGATGGCATGGAGGCCCTACAGTCTCAGCTATAAGGGAGGTTGAAGCAAGATGCTTGTTTGAGCTCACGAGTTTGAAGTTGCAGTGAGCTGTGATGAGGCCACAGTATTCTACCTGGGGTGATGGAATGAGACTATGTCTCAAAAAAGAAAGAAACAAACCTGGAAAAAGATCAACAGTGCACTTACAGTAGAGTGGATACATAAATTGTGTGGCATAGTCCTGTAGAAAATATTACTCACCAGCAAAAAAAATTCAAGAAATGTGTTGAGCTAAAGCAAATCCTGGACAAATACACACAGTGTGATTTTTCTTTATATAAGTTCAAAATCTGTATGATCGAATAAAACATTGAAAGGAGTAGAATTTTATTGTGGTAAGATTATAATGAAAAACAAGAGGATGATAGCAATAATATTTATGAGAAGTTATCATAAATAACTTCAGAATATGAGAACACTGTAGTTAAGAGATGGAAATTGGATGTGAAGTAGGATAGCCTGGGTTCAGGGCCAGGCAGAAGTAAGGATGATGTCCTTTTTTTGTAAAATGAGTTGTAGGTGAAGGGTTTTAGTTGTAATTTCTTTCTTTCTTTGTATTTATTTTATAAATGGTCTTTGTATATAGTTAGAAGGATATGTATGTAGCACACTCATCTCAAGTAGATGTGGTTATTGAGATACCATTGCATAGTAATAGAGCAGGGACGTGTAAACTTGGAAACTGGCTTCAGAAATTTAGATTTGAAATGACATTTCATAGGAGTTGTTCTTGGATTCTAGACCAGACAGTATTGCCATGAAAATTGTGGATCATGAAGGCGGTATTTTAACTGAAATAACACTAGAAATAGATGATGTGAGAGAAAGAGAGAGAGAAGAGAGAGTAGGAGATTAAATGTCTGTTGTGGAAGACAAGGCGTGAGGGTGTTTCTAACCTAAATTCCGTTGCTATGGAGACACAGGCAAAGCCAGCAGCTAGACCTTTCACAGAGAAAGAAATGACACTGTTTAGTAGAAGGTTCTGCAATTACAGGATTTTTTAAAAATATTTTTTTCTCTTTATCTAAGCAGACCAAGTAGAGACGTGAACAATGTAAGGATAGTTCTGATCAGAATATGGGAGTATCGTAGTTAAGAGACGGAAATTGGATCTGAGCTATGTAGTGGATAATTGTTCTATTTTTCTGCTGCTGTAGAAAAGAGCAAAATAAATTAGGTT